TAGGCACGATGGGGATGCCAGCACCCCGGTCCCCATCCCCTTGAAATGCTCTTGGGAATACCCTGTAGTAAGAACAGCATGGCTGGAGTCTCAGCTTCTCCTGCTATGCTAGAATGGATTCAGTCACTTCAAGGTGGTGGCCATATCCCATACATACACATATTGGTGTACATAGCTTCAAGATTTTGCTGTCTCCTGAAGTTTCCAGTGCTCTTCTCTGAAGAAAACAGACCAAAACCAAAACCTGTGTGGTAGTGCCATCAGGGATTCAGCAAGGTGACTGACAGGTCGCATGTCATTTCATTGGGATAATATTTCACTCTGGTTAGAAACAGAGGGGGCACAGAGAGATGACTTATTAGGTGACCTTCAGCTTACTTCTCTTGGGAAAAATATTTGAATGGAAAGAGACTTTAAACACTGGAATAGATGGTCTTAGGTTACGGTTAACATCTCAACTTACGGTTAACATCTTCACAGGGTGTTATGAAGAGGGGACAGGAGCACATGGCAGGTGTGGGGCAGGAGCTGTCAACTGCCATGACTTAGCTGTAGTTCCTCAAGACCCCAGCTTAGGACAAAATACAACTCAGGCCACATGCAGCCCCCACGTCCACATTGCAAGTACTGCTGTCGCTGGTATAAGTAAGATCTGATCTTGTCTTATAGCACGGTACAGACTAAATGATCTCTGAAGGTGTAGTCCAGGTTTATTTTCTGAGGGTTTATTCCATATTTTCCCATACTGTGCAAAAAATGATCATAAGCCATCTTTCTTATATGGGTAAGGAAACGGGTAAAGATGTCTGGGGACTGATTTGCAAGTGTTGAATAAAAGCTGCTTCAGAAATACCAAAATGGTGGTATAACCTGAAGTTATGAGAGTCTGATATTAATTATAGGGTATACACATAAGAGTGATGTTTTATTCTCATTTAAGAGATGTAAAGCTTTCAAATAATGCAGGCTGTCTGCATGGGAAGGTTTGCTGTTTCTTGCTGTGTGATTCTTTGAGTTATTGTGCGTGCCCCTTCTGACAGACCCCAGGGTAATCTTTTTTTAAAGTCTTTAATAGCTTTGAAAATGCATTCTCCTCACTTGGCTGGAAAAAAAATAGTTTTAAAGGGGCAGATTCCCTTCTTCAGCTGACTCTCACCCTGTGCAGAAGTCAGGTTGTTAAAAAAACAGTATGTAGTGAATTCTCTGCCAATAGAATATTGGTATATAGCTCTGATATTTTTACATTGCCAAAGCAGGCAAGGACTGTCCTATTGATCAATCCCATGCTACAGGTTGGGAGATGAAGACAGAGACCATATCAACATTTTTTACTGTAGTGGCAGTTTCCTGATGTAATCCAGGATTATTCCCTGCTGGCCAAACAAGAGCTCACAAAAAAAGGCCAGCCCTCAGCTGAGCATCTGATTCAAAAGAAAATTCAGCTGAAAGCTGAGCATTGGAAAGATGAGTCAATACAAAAGCAAGCAGCAGCTCTGGATTTAAGCAGAAGTCCACAGCATTTAACCTACTTTAGCAGATCAATGCAGCGGATTTTTAATCATCACATTAATCCTAAAATAAAAATAATTACCCCAGAGATCTGTATTAAAGTCCCTTAATTATATCTCATTTCATCATCCTTTTTACTCAGGATCAGGAGCTACAGAGACCAGAGCTTCCCGATGTCATTCTCCAGCTTGCAGTTTAACTCTCTCATTAGGACTTTAGCTGCTACTGTGGGGATGAGGCATTGGCCTTGCTGAGAGCACCCACTTCCATCCCACTTGGGGGAAAACTGAAAAAGTGAAAAAAAAGCTGGTCAGGATTCTGCTGTCCAATGACATGGCACAAAACAGCAGGGAAAGGAGCAGAGAACATTATATGGTGGGTGAAAAATGTGTGAAAACCTAGAAATTCAATCTCTACTTTCTCCCCTTCTTCCAGCAGTGTCAGGAGCAAATTAATATCTCATTAAGGGGAAAGAGAGGACTTGACCAGAGGCTTGACCCCTTATCAAATTTCACTGAGCAGAGTTTCTTTCCTGGAGCATCCTCTCCTGCCTGCAGTCCTGCCATCCCGACAGTCAGCCTTGGGGAGCATAGCTGTGGAAAAATGCAGGACCACAAGCCTCCAAGGCACCCTCCATGGGGAGCTTCAGGTGGGTTTTTATGGCAATAAAACCAGCCCATTCCCTGCTTGTAAGGGCAGGTGGCATGGCAATGCTTACAGTCATCCAGCTAACTTTTCCATCTTTCTCCCAGAAAAGGGTACCTTTGTCCACACCACTTATTGCGACCAGTCCCTAGTCTATGCTGTCCCCTGTGTTGTGCCCAAGCTGCTTGTTTTCAGTCAGATTCCCCCTGCCTTGCTGGCCTTTACCCATTTCCACCATGTTCTTGCAAAGAAACAAGCTAGCCCTGTGTTATATTTAGGCTTAAAAGCACTGTACATTTACTGGAATAGTACTTAAGGGCAATTTTCAGGTTTCTCTAAATACACTAGGGAATTTCTTCCCGCTGCCTTGGGAAGAGGCCCAGAGGCCTGTTATTGTTGCAGATGTTGGGAGGCAAGCAAAGGCTATCATAAAAAAAGCAGCATGTTGAATCCTAGTGAGTAAATGGCTTTAGGTTTAGGCAGCGTCCCCAGGCTCCAGCTTGGCAAGCAGCACCAAAGCTATAAATATCCCACTTCCCCTCTGCAAGGATCCTCTCCAAAGCCACCAGCTCCTCCATGGTCCCTGGGGGTGCAAGCTATAACATGTCCAAGGAACCTCACAGCCAGCATCAGCTTCTAACAGGGAACTTAACACTGGAGGTTTGTGAAATGAAAGAGTAATTAAAGGTTACAGCTACCCCTGCACGGAGCGGACTGGCAATCAAATTGCCTGGGAATGGTCACCATAATGTACTGCAGGGCATGAGAGTGAGAGAGGGAAAGAAAAAGTGAAAAAGTAGCTTCATTATAACATTATGCTAACAATGTAGGCTGCTATGTAAATCACCTTTCTGTCATTAATAACTGACAGCCTGAGACTGCCACATCTTGCATTTTCATTTCCATGAAAGATGGGAACTACCCCTTCCCAGCAGAAAGGAGCCAAAGTGCTTTTTCCCTGCACTGAGGTGGGAGAAGAGACCCTCTTTGAGACTCTTTCATGTGATAAAAAAAAGGAAAAGAAACAAATCATTACAAGCTGGAATAAAAAAGATTAAATAAACAGTGTTTTCCAGTCAAAGTGACAAATTGTATGCACATGTCCCTGCTTGAGCCCCTTTGATGGCAGAGTGCTCAGAACCAGACTTTCTCCTAGCAAGCCTGGGAATTGGACATCACCCTTTTTTCATTCCCTGAGGCCCGCTGATGACAGGTGAGGCTCCCAGGGCACAAAGCAGGACAGAGACTGGCCACAGAGATCACTCACTGGAAGAGTTTTAGTTGCATCTTCTCATCATTTTATCTTTACTTTGCCATTTTTCATTTCAATATATACTTGGGATTTATTTTTCATTGCTCTAATCCTGTTGTAGTCATTTTGACTTAGAAAAGCACGTATTGGTAGGGCTGCAAGGCCTCCAGGACAAATGGGAAAAACTGAGAAAATAAGGCAAGATGAGACCTCAACTGGTCATAAAGTCATCCTCTCAACAGCTTACTACTACCCTTGTCTACCTAACAGGTTCCTGAAGCCCCAAAGATGAAGATTTTATACCTCCTCAGGCAGCCTTTTTCTTTAAAAGTTTCCCTTCATGGTTAAATCCAAATCATCCCTGCTGCAACTTAACTCCATAACTACTTGTCATGTCATGAGTCTTCACAGAGACGTGTTTATTACCTTCCTCTTAGCGGAAGTAGTTTGGGGTATTTCAAGACAGATATCATATCTCCCCTCAATTTTCTCCAAGCCAAACAAACACATTTTCTACACCTCTGTTCTTGCCGCTTTCCTTTGGCTCCTTCCAACTGAGTCACGTCTTTCTGGAAGTGAGGTGCCCAAAAGCAGAGAAGAATCCCCCAGCCAAGGCCTCACTGCTAAGCAAGGCACACAAATTGCTTTGTGGATAAACTACAATGCTCCTGTCTATAGATATTAATATCATACTTGCTGTTCCCCCCGCCCCAGGAAGAAACATTTGTCAGCAGTTTGCTTGCTCTTGGCACAAGGCAAACAACTATATGAGTTGCAAACCAGGCAAGAACCAAACCGTTGATCTCTTCTGGAAAAATGCAGCTAAATTCCAGTAAAAAATTCCACAGCAGCTGGCTACACCACTGAAACCCACTTACCTCAAAGCATGTAAGAGAAACATTCCCCTTTACAAAATCATACAAGCCGTAAGACCTCAAACTAGATTTAAGTAAAATAAACTCTGCATGGGTCAAGGTTAAACACTTGAAGATCCCCACTGGTATTTGCTGTGAAAAGAGCAGTACCATTTGCAGATCAGAGACTGATGTGCTCTACAAGAAAGCAGTCTCAGCAAGTAACTCGTGAGAATACAGCAGTGAAAAAATAAAGTGCTCTCTCTGTTATTTGGAACACTAATGTTGCCGCTTTGATTTTAGGAATTGCATCCGCATGTTTGTTTCTAAAGACATTAAAGTTTAGGCAATGAGCATGCTACCTTAATTCAACCTCTCAAGCCATTTCAGCTCGAACTTACATAGGGTGAAAAGCCTATATGGCAGGGTCTGATCAGGGGCAAATACTCAGGTGGTACAAGTCAGTCTAGCTTAAGTAAGACCTAGATTTTTACAACACCTGAGGACTAAAATACAATCTAAGAAACACACAAATCATTATACTCTGCCTAACTGTCTCCTTCATTAATAATCTAACAGACACTACAGATGCTGGATGCACTTTCCCGGATTGACAAGATATTAATATTGTCAGCACAACACCAAGAAGTGGTTTGAACCGTTATAATGGTATGGCTGGATCTCTGTCTCCATTCAGTCCGATCACACAACTTTTCCTATTCCCTCAAATCCCCCCTTACCTTTTGAGATAGTTTCTCCCATAGAGGATCTGCTGCAGCAAGGTGACCACAGCAAAGGCGCAGATGAATATGAAGAACAAAGTTCTGTTTCCGAGCAAATCCCTGCTTGATGAAGGGTCAGTGTATCCCATCCTTCTTAAAAGCCACTGAAGCTCCGCTGGGTAAAATTCAGTTCATTGTCACCCTCATGCCCTTTTTGCTGGGAAGAGGAGGGGAACACTTGCTGGCTTTTTTGTGAGCAATCCAAGGACAAGGTATCCCATTGTTTGGCCCTGCTGCCCTTTCCTTGCCCCTTTTGGATGTTAGCTCCAGGATTGTGCGCAATTGCTCGCTTCCATGGTAAAGTTTCCAGGAGATTCAGACGTGGGTAACATCTAAAATCATCTTTCAGAGCTCTTTCGGCTCAGGCAGCCTGTGCTGTGCAAGAGGCATTCTGTTCCCTCTAAGCCTCTCTTGAAAACCCGCTGCTAGCAATTATCTACTTCAATCCCATTTTCATATTCCAGATGGGGGAAGCTGCAAATAAACCAGAAAACTGCAGCCAATGACAAACACAGGGCTCCGGCAACCCGCGTTGGAAACACATAGTCGTCAGCTCTTCTTTGCTTCTGCTCAGTGATTCCAACAAAATGTGCTTGCAAGGAGACGTGACTGGGTGTGCTATTATTGAACAAGCATGTAACGATCATGAGGATTTCATTCAGTCCCCTGCAAAAAACAACAGCAGCAATCTGGTCAGGCTAGCAAGAAAGCTGCATTTTGTGTAGCAGCGTGCGGTCTGTACCGTGCCTTCGGTACTGTAGCATTTGCATGCAGAATGCAGTGCCTTTAGTCATACACCGCTCACTATTTGGGCTCCTATATTTCCCCTGGTTATTCCTCCAGAGTAAGCGTAAGCAAGGTCACTGTGCATCTCTTCAAGGACAGAGCTCTCAGTTCCTGCATGCTGATTTATTGGAGGCTCTGAGTAGCCTCACAGCCGCAGAGAGGGAGACTGCCTCTCAGTGCAGGCTCTAAGAACCATTCATTTAAAGAGACAAATATTCTGATTGTTCCTCCACCAGAAACAGTTCTCTTTTGAAAGGGCAAAGCGACAAGACCTTGTCCACGGCCATCATAACTCCTTTAAAAATCTCCCGATTGTCAGGAGAGGCTCAATTCAGCTCACAGAGAAATTAATGGGAGTTTTGTTGCTGATTTCACTGGCAGCAAAACCTGCCCCCAACCCTTAGATTCTTAAAACAAGTTCCAATAAAAGATTTACCCATGAATGAAACATCCTGGCTAGGAGGTTGTTTTGCCCCAATAACAGATGGGAAAAGAATTTTGACAACAAAAAATCCTTTGTCTAAGAGAATGGGAAGATTTTTGTGTGAATAAATTTTCCAACAGTTAAATCAGCGTATGCAAAATGTTCTAGTGTGCCAGCAGCCCAGCTGTGCAAAGCAGCAAACCAGGACTGTTGCTGCACTTTGTCTCAGCTGTAATTGGTGCTGCATGGGAAGAAGGGGCAAAGGTAACTTTGTGCAACTCTTTCAACTCAGTTCCTGAAGCCAGGTCTAGTCCTCATCATGGCCTTTGGCAATTTAGGCAAGACAATCAAGGGCTAAGGCAGGCTTTGCCTTACCTAATTTTAAGCAACAAAAGTAACAAAAGTCTTAAAGATAGGAACTTGTTCACCCTGAACTCCTGCAGGCAGGAACCCCTAGAGGAGACCAGCCCTTTAAACACCCTTGACTTTGCAGAGAAGGTGTAGGAATGTAACCTCTGATATGTCCTTCTTCAGTCCCTTTCAAAGTTCCCACACTTGCATTTGTGAACCCTGCTAAATGCTTCGATTATCACCTATGCATATAAAAAGAGTGGTGATCCAGGGTCAGATCAAAGATTATCCAGCCCAGTGCCTTGTCCTTGACAGTGGAAAGTGATGGATACACAGGGAAATGTAAAAGAGGGCAAGGACAAAATGATACTTCCTTGGAAACACTCTCCTACCATTTTGTGGTTCAGGGTCTTCCTGAACCAGGGGAAGAAAACCAATCTTTTGGTTAAAAAAATAACTGAGTTGGATGCACTCATTTGTACTGTACTGGGAATAATACACATACCAGGGGACTGCAAATTAAATAGCAAAAGCAGTTCGATTCCCTCTTGTCAAAGTCATCAGCTCTAGGGCCAAATATGTTTCTTTTAACGATCAGTTCATTTAAGCCCAAATAATACAAGAATGTTTCCATATAGGAACCGTACCATTTAAAGGGATCTAACCGCATACCCTTCTCAGTAACAGGAAAAGCAGTATGGCCATCAGAAATCCCAGACTGAGACCCTACAAGATACTACACAAGCAGATTTGTATGGAGAAGCTGTGAGTTAAGGCCAGTAAGGGCAGATGTGAAGGAAAAGGTACTTAATGCTTTGATTTGTTGCATTTTTACAGACAGTTTTGAAAATCCTGTCCAAGAAATTTGTCTCAGGTGCTCCAAGAGTTATTTTAACAATAACCGCAAAGTATCACAGAGTAGAATTTGGCTTCTTATGACTTTCTATGGGTGTGATGCCAGTTTTGCAGATTTCAATATCACCTAGGTTTTGGTGAAAACACTTTCAGCCTTTCTTCCTCTATTCCCCTCCATTGAAAGTGATTTTTTTCTTGAGATATCTGTGCTGTAGTGCACCAAACTCAAAAGCCTTTCTTTCTCCTGGACAGATGGTCAGCCTGAGCTGCAGTAAACAGCCCAGAAGTGCCGTGTACTCTCACTCAGTCTTTGATTTTCTGTGTACTCTCATCCTTCTCTGCTATGTCAGAGCTGGCCAGAAGACACAGCACCTGAGAGGCCTATATGCAGGAGAGCTGCAAGCCTAAAGCGAAAAGCAAAGTACAAAGATATGTATTATAAGTGGAGAGGGTTTTCTGTGCCAGATCTTGTGCAGACACCCTTCCTGATGTCACATGTAAAAGAAATCTGTTTGCTGCCTTCAGCCCAGTACTACAATAACACTGCAGAACTGGAAGCAGAGCAGCTCTGTGCAAGCATAAAGAAATAGGATGTCTATCGACAAATTTTCAAAGGGTGCTCAGGATTGCCCACAATATTTGTTGTGAGTGAAAACATTCATACAGTGCATGCAGAAGGGCTGAATAAGCAATGCCAGCACTCATTCCCAGGGCCCCTTTGAGAGTTTGAATTGTCAACTACAGGCCTCCTTGAAAGCATCAGGCCTCTGCAGAGAACAAATTAATTTTTTTTAATGATTTTACACCCTGCACTTAAGCAAGAAACAGGCAACAAAAGACCCCCTCCAGAGTTTGAGAAGGGCATGGGGAAAAGGACATTACAGTAAGTTGTGTTGCAAACACAAATTTGCTGGGCATGACTGGGCCTCAGGTGCTGCGTACAGTACCGACTGCTAGTCACGTAGGCATTGACTCTGCAACGGGCAACGTAGCTACAATAGCACTGGTAACATACAGGGAGTCTAGCCCACATCACACTATACTCCAGTCAGCATCATTCCAGAGCACAGGAACCCGGTAAATAAGATCTCTTCCATCAGCAGAGGATCAAGTATCACTTAACTAGTATCAGCTACTCAAAATACCTCTTATGAGATGGTGAGAGAGAGATGGATAAGCCGCATGATATGCACAAGCTCAGAAAGGGTATTCCTATATTGTTTCTTGGATGGACAGACTTCAGGGGCTAAAGCACAAGTGGCAAAATGGAACTGCTCATAGCCTATCATAATCTGAAGCTGCCAGAAGCAGTCAGTCTTACACTTTGCTGGCCTTTATTTTTTGTATGTGAGCTGCTTGCTAAATATCGTCAGAGACAATCTCTCACAGGAAACTCCTCCAGCCTGAGCAGTGAGACTCTGAGCCCTCTAACACAAACATGAACATGCTCCAGACAGTGATACCTCCAATGGGAGTTCATCATTTGCTCTTAAGTCCAAATGAAACAGAACTGAATTAAAAAAAAAAAAGTTAACATTGAATCTCAAAGACAAAGAAACCTTGGCTAACCACCAAGGCCATGTTTCTGAAGCTCCACACAAGGAAAGCTGAATTAGCAAAAGGACAAAACCTGGTAGGAGTCTGGTAAGTGTCTACTTCTCTTGTGCAGGGAACAAGCACATCTCTCTCTCTGCTGAAAGGACTATATGCAGCCATTATTTCTAAGCTGCAGTTCATTTTTTAATGCAAATGAAACAGAAAAATTCACTTCCGATGGGTAGGTCTGATTGGGAATTTCCTTAAGTACCTTTCACTGAACCTGTCATTTGAATCAGTGTTTGATTATGCATTCTAATTTCAGCTGAAAGCAAGGGCATTTAGTGTCTCGGATAGCAGGATCTGTCTGTTGGTTGTCTAAATCACAGTATACATAACTGAACATGTTAAACTCACAGTATTGTACAGGGTCAGAGTAAAACAAAACGTTTCACGTTCCCCTTTAGCATTTTTTCTCTCCTGCCTGCTCAGCCACTCTCCACTCCTCTTCATGACTGTTATGCAGATTAAAGAACTTCACACGCAGCATAGCAAAATACTATGGGCTGTAAAAGGTTTTAGTAGAACACTTTTTACAATTCATTTTTTCCCCTAATTAAAATTAAATCAAGTCTATTTACAGTTTCTACAATGCTTGTGTCAACTGCTAGATCCCTGATTTTGCAAAGCACTGGCACATAGGTATATGCCTGGAAGGTTCTGCTGAATATGGAACTCATAAACATATGCTTATCAATATTAATTCTTTTGCAGATATAAAACATGAATTTATCAGCATAATCCAGTGCTTAACACAATGTCTAGACCCCCATCACTGCCACAAATCCATATGTCTTAAACTGGGATATTGAAGGAGGCTGAAAAGATTCAGCTAAGATGTAAACATTTATTTCCTCCTGAGTTGGGCTAAGCCACGAGGAGATGACAACGGCTACTTTGGCACCAGGCCTCCTACCTGTGGAGCTGCCTGAATTGGAGGAAGTGTCCCGAAGATAACATATGGTCTCTGCACTGAACATACACTACATCATCTATTGAATCATGACCAATTTCCTTCCAACTATGGGTCACATAGGCACTGGGGGAAAAATGACCCAGTGCATAAAATACCCCTTT